GGGGGGAAGGACTGTAGACTGACCACAAAATCCCCTTTACCTCAGCTCCTTAGAAAAACAACCGAAAAACATGAGTAAGAGTATTATTGGACAAGGAAAAAGCCCTCCACGTAGATGCCTTGAGAGATGACAGGGTGTCCCTAGCAGGAGAGCCAGGTAATTTCTAACCGAAGAGGATTTTCTTCTGAACCTTTATTCTCTTCCCCGTTTAGAAGCAGCCTCAACTCTGCCGCTGTGTGGCAGCGCTGAAAAGGAACATGAAAAAAAAAATCACTGATCGGTGAAAAAAATCACTCACCAGTGCAGAGCTCACCCCGCCGGGCGAGAAAGCCCCTGCTCCCGCACTGTGGCGTCGATTTTACAAACAGGCATTTGCACCTTCTGGCCTCCACCACCGGAACTTCGTCCCACCAGAGGAGCCGGTGTTTTGCAGAACCGCTTGGGGCCTTCTCGGAGGATGAGGACAGTCACCGGGGTTTGCCGAAAGGAAGGCTGTGGGCAGTCTCACAGCGGCCCTCGGGGCTTGGGAGAGTTTTCACCAGTGATCCTACTTTCCCCTTTGAGTGGTGGTGCAATTGGAGGCCAGCGTTGGTTGTAAAGGCAACTGTTCTCAGCACAGATCTCAGCAGGCAAACCTCTTCCTTCCTGCAGACACCATCACTGAATTTTAACGCTAGCACAGCGCCTCTGGCAGGCAGGACCACACGTTTTTCTCACTTCAGTACGCGAGGAGGCGTGGACAAACTCTGCAATAAGAGAGAACATTAAGGACCTACGGTAAAACTTATTTAACGTGTGTTGGCCCATAATTTAACTCCCACCACCTGCACGGGGAAAAAGCCTAGAAGCCCAAGGATCCCTCTTTAGATTTGGGACTAAGCAGAGGGGGGGCAGTGCTGGGATGGTCTTGGAGACACCTCAGGTTGGTCAAGATCAGAGTCACGGGGCTCTGCAGCCTCGTGAACATAAAAGTATCTGATGTTGCTCCCGTGGAGGAGTATCATACCTCTAAGGAAGCATGAGGGTAAGAAGGGGATTGGGCTGCGGTGGCTAATGGAGTAAACCAGTGCTGTCCCTCCATACGCTGCACATTTCTGGAAGTAAGTCATAAAGCTTACTTTTTTTTCTCAAATCTCACATCACAATAACAGAGCAGCCACAGAGGAAGGGAAAACGGGTAGCATTAGGAGACGTGTTCATTTCTTAAGGTCACTCGGAGCCATCTCATGTTTGTTTGGTTATTAAATCTCTTTATTCTACTGTGAACCTTGAAGGACGAGGCAGACATTTCTCCATACCGCTTGGGAGAGCTGAGGTGAACAGGCTGGAGGAAGCCTATTACCCCACGTGGAGCACTGCGTCCAGCTGTGGAGCCCTCAGCACAAGAAAGACACGGACCTGTTGGAGCGGGTCCAGAGGAGGGTCACAAAAATTATCAGGGGGATGGAACAGCTCTCCTGTGAGGACAGGCTGAGAGAGTTGGGGTTGTTCAGCCTGGAGAAGAGAAGGCTTCGGGGAGACCTGATTGCAGCCTGTCAGTACTTAAAGGGGGCTTATAAAAAAGATGGGGACAGACTTTTTAGCAGGGCCTGTTGCGACAGGACAAGGGGGAATGGCTTTAAACTAAAGGGGGGTAGATTCAGACTAGATATAAGGAAGAAATTGTTTATGCTGAGGGTGGTGAAGCCCTGGCCCAGGTTGCCCAGAGAGGTGGTGGATGCCCCATCCCTGGAAACATCCCAGGTCAGGCTGGACGGGGCTCTGAGCAACCTGACCTAGTTGAAGATGTCCCTGCCCACGGCAGGGGGGTTGGACTAGATGGCCTTGAGAGGTCCCTTCCAACCCAAACCATTCTGTGATTCTATAATTCTAAGAATGCATAAAAGATATGGTCAAGGCCTTTTTGTTCTCAAATGCCTCAAAACTTTACAAAGAAACAAGACGATGTCAATGTAATAATAATGGAGATAAAAAGTAATTCACAACAATCATTACCCTTAAAATAATTACTGGAACCAAGCAAAGGAGGTATGAAGTCATACTTTTCAGGGTCTTTCAAGCTGTTTCCATAGGGAGCTTGGTGGGCCTTTGAAGCTACTCTTTATTTGCAGTGAATGCCTACCAGCTCCTTCCTCCTTGAGCCTGGGAGCATTAAACGGCAAAATCGCTTTCCCCGTCTCACAGTTCCACACGTGCCCTTCCAGGCGGGCCTCGGTCCCGTGGTGTCGCCTAAAGGCTGCTTTGCCATTGCTTCTGTTGTTGCCAGTACGCCATCGTGTTCCTCCTCTTTTGCTAAGATTGGATTAAGTCAAAGTCATCCTCCATGCAGTCACCTGTTTGGACGCACCGAAGAAATGAACATTTAATTATCCTCTTATTCAGCATGAATAAAAGGTGGGATCATGCTTCTAGCCACCTTCCCCAGGATGTAGATCAAAGCAAGTAGTCACCCCAACCGCCGCTCCACATGGTAACACAACACATTTGTTTATGCGCTTATTCTTCAACGCATCTTAAATTATCAGGATGTGTACTGCTACCCTGAGGAACCGAAGACAGCTCTTTGCATCTCGTCTCATTACTGATGCAGAATGGAGGTATTCTTGCATTATCAGTAACAAATCACAAAAATTCAATTACGACTGAAGTGGAAAGGCAATGAGCAGGGAGGGTGCCGCAAGCAGTGATTTATTACCGAACCCTGAATCAATGAATAACAAGCCTCGTCAAGTCCTTAGTAATGCCTTTGTGTTCTTCTACAGAAAGGAACATACACATTGTACCACAGAAAAGTTGCTAAAATTGAAAAAAAACCCAAACACTGATTTATTCTTTTTCCTGCACTGCTCTAATGGCTGCTGCACACCAGCCCTCTCCACCTGCCAAGGCCCTGAATTGTGGGGTATGAAACCACGGCAAAGGCCCCTTTGAAAAATGCAGGGAAAGAAGCGATCCAGGCAGAAAAGGGAAGGTGACGTTATCACAGCTGCTCCTGACCAAGAGCTGGAGAAAACTTCGTGGCAGAGAAGCTCTGTGCATGTGAAAAAGAGAGGTTCCTTCCTTTGAAAAGGTCAAGGTGTTGACAGACTGCTGCTGTATCAGAAATCGTGTGGCCAGCAGGAGCAGGGAAGTGATCATGCCCCTGTACTCGGCACTGGTGAGGCCGCACCTCGAATACTGTGTTCAGTTTTGGGCCCCTCACTACAAGAAGGA